TTATGTACCTGGGAGGTGTCCTTCCTTCTGGGGGCCTGGAGCAGCCGCCCCTATGCCTCACCACCATCATCTTCCTAACAATAGTGATGACACAAATGCTTTGACTCGAATTGTTACCAGTTACCACTGATTTGCTGTAGACACGATCGAGGTAACTGATCATGATGATCTAGTAGTTGTCTTCGATGTAGTCATGGTTGATGTAGCCGCTCATTGCCGAAGGCACAAAAAATTTGAGATATATTGTAGATAGAGCTGTAGTTCATAGAAAAGGCATCTTGCATATGTCAGAGGATACCATCGGGGGCATCTTGCATATGTTAGAGGACATCATAGTCTTGCATATGTTAGAGGATGCTGAGCAATATTGTAGATAGAGCTGTAGTTCGTAGAAGAGACATCTTGCTTATGTTAGAGGATGCCATTGGTAGCGTTTGGCATATCTGATTTGGAGTGTCTTGCATATGCCAGAGGACATCATTCTTGCAAATGTGCAGTGTGTTACATATATGGATGAAAACGGATCGGATACGAATGGATATCACTGATATTACATTTGTTTTCATATTTCTGTCCGGATTCGAATTCGAATATGGATATTGTCAACCATGCCGGATAGGATACGATTGGATATAGACATCATAAATATGCGATTTGATTATTCGGATACGGATACGATATCGGATGTTGAATATCCAGACCCGGATACGGACAAATTTGAACCCCTCTAAACGGATTCGGTCTCGAATACGGTTGGAAAATATCCGTACCGTTTTCAACCCTGGTTACATAAATCAAGGACACATCATAGTCTTGCATATGTTAGAGGAAATTGTGTTGATGCAGTCAAGCTATTGTAATCTTGTAGATGACGTAGTCCTACTGTCGTATTGTAGACATTGTTAGGGGATGTCTATCTTGTGGACAACGTGGAGGTGGTGTGTTGATGAAGACCACACTGACAAAGATCATCGGTGATGAGTGCTGACATATGTGTTGCTGATGTAATCGTAGAGCTGATGGTGGTGGATGAAGTAGCGGTACTTGTAGAGAGATATGATTGTGCCCATGCATGCGTACATGAGCATAGATCTATGTGCCTGGTCTGTTTGATCTTAGTTCTAAATGACGTCCATGCATGTAGGTACGCAAGCGCTTGATGTACACATGCTTTACAATCTTGGAGCATGTCGATGAGCTAACTGTTATATTGGATGATGGTGTGGAAGCTGGAGCAGTGCCATGCTTCGGCATGGCCCATGTAGTGGAAGCAGCTGGTCTTGTAGGTTGCGACAATGGCGTATAGGGGCTCGAGGAGGTAGTTTGTGAGGACATGATCCAACACCGTGGCACTCTCGAACTGACAAACACATCGCGCAACGGTGCACCAACAAAGCTGATGTTCTCATGGAGGTTGGCTTAACTAGTGGTTGCCGACATTAGCATGGACACCACATGAGGACAGTCGGATGAAGATGAGGTTGTTGCTGTCGTCCACTTTTGCTGAGATCCTCTTTAGTAGGTGCACCGTCGGAACTGGGTAACGTGTTGTTGTTCTTGTCTTTGGCCACCACGAAGAGAAATAAGGTTAGGGTTTTAATCTAATAGCATGGGAATTTCGAAATTGAGAAAACCTAATCTAATCTATGGATCAATGACGTTGGTTCGTGGCTCTAGATACTTTGTAAAAGATAATAGGAAGTTTGGAACGACTTAAGCCCTTAGGTTGCTCCCTATGATTTTTATATAGTCGGCACAGTTGATACATGTCTTGACTACAAATAGGACTTTGGTATATGACCGAGTAGGACTCAAGTTCACTTGGATTACGATACTTCTACTAGGTTTAAACCTATTACATCTCTAGGATTCTGTCTTTATCTCTATAGTTTGTACACAACTTCAGATATCTCTAGCCAAACATATCTATACTCCTAACAATCTTTATTAGAGATGGTTGTTTGATATTTCTGTTTTGGTGGAATCTCAATGAAATGGTGGTATTTATCTGAGCTTGTTGAGTTCAAGATTTGCTACTTTGTGATGGTCAGATATGTCAATAGTCAGAATACCATCTATTTGGTCGTCCTGGTGGCATGGTGGATTTGGAAGCATAGAAATTGTTGTCTTTGAGGGATCTCATCCCAATTTTAGTTCCATCATGCAGGATATTAGAGATGAGGCCAAGTTGTGGTGTATGGCGGGTGCCAAAGGGCTCCGTAGCTTATGGCCATGACTGTTTTGTCGGTCCTTGGTATTACTTAGTTTTTGGGGTTTTTTTGTGTTTTCTTCTGCTGTACTGGTCATGCCCTTCTAAGGGGTTATTTGAGTCACCTAGACACCTTATTCTTCTTCATATAATGATACACAACACTCCTGCGCGTTCGAGAAAAAAATGTGAAACATTATTCCCATAGTTAGAATGATTTATTACTTTTGGTTCAGTTAATAGTTGTGATGTAAACCTTTCGGTTGCTAACACCATTGTGTTGGTTGGACTAGTAGTGAACACTGAGAAATGACATTTACATTACAAATATTTGAGAAAACATTTACGTTCGAAATAAATATGGAATACCACAATCAACAACAACAACAACAACAAAGCCTTTAAGTCCCAAACAAGTTGGGGTAGGCTAGAGTTGAAACCTAGCAGAAGCAATCAAGGTTCAGGCACGTGAATAGCTGTTTTCCAAGCACTCCTATCTAAAGCTAAATCTTTGGGTATATTCCATCCTTTTAAGTCTCCTTTTATTGCCTCTACCTAAGTTAATTTCTGTCTTTCTCTGCCTCTTTTCACGTTACTATCCTGGCTTAGGATTCCACTACGTACCGGTGCCTCTGGAGGTCTCCGTTGGACATGTCCAAACCATCTTAACCGGTGTTGGACAAGCTTTTCTTCAATTGGTGCTACCCCTAATCAATCACGTATATCATCGTTGCGAACTCGATCCCTTCTTGTATGACCGCAAATCCAACGCAACATACGCATTTTCGCGACACTTATCTGTTGAATATGTCGTCTTTTCGTAGGCCAACATTCTGCACCATACAACATAGCAGGTCTAATCGCCGTCCTATAAAACTTGCCTTTTAGCTTCTGTGGTATCCTTTTGTCACATAGGACACCAGATCCTTGGCGCCACTTCATCCACCCTACTTTGATTATATGGCTAACATCTTCATCAATATCCCCGTCTCTCTGTAGCATTAATCCTAAATATCGAAAGGTATCCTTCCTAGGCACTACTTGACCTACCAAACTAATATCTTCCTCCTCCCGAGTAGTAGTGTCAAAGTCACATCTCATATACTCAGTTTTAGTTCTACTGAGTCTAAAACCTTTGGACTTTAAAGTCTCCCACCATAACTCCAGTTTCTGATTCACTCATGTCCGGCTTTCATCAACTAGCACTACATCGTCCGCGAAAAGCATACACCAAGGGATGTCCCCTTGTATGTCCCTTGTGACCTCATCCATCACTAAGGCAAACAGATAAGGGCTCAAAGCTGACCATTGATGTAGTCCTATCCTAATCGGAAAGTCATCCGTGTCTCCATCACTTGTTCGAACACTAGTCACAACATTGTTGTACATGTCCTTAATGAGCCTGACGTACTTCGTTGGGACTTTATGTTTGTCCAAAGCCCACCACATAACATTCCTTGGTATTTTATCATAAGCTTTCTCCAAGTCAATAAAAACCATGTGTAGGTCCTTTTTCTTCTCCCTATACCACTCTATAACTTGTCTTATTAAGAAAATGGCTTCCATAGTTGACCTTCCGGGCATGAAACCAAATTGGTTCATAGAGACCCGCGTTATTGCTCTCAAGCAATGCTCGATAACTCTCTCCCATAGCTTCATAGTATGGCTCATCAACTTAATTCTCCGGTAATTAGTACAACTTTGAATATCCCCTTTATTCTTGTAGATCGGTACCAATATACTTCTCCACTCGTCAGGCATCTTGTTCGATCGAAAAATATGGTTGAACAACTTGGTTAGCCATACTATAGCTATGTCCCTGAGGCATCTCCACACCTCGATTGGGATACCATCTGGTCCCATCGCCTTACATCCTTTCATCCTTTTCAACGCCTCTCTGACCTCAGATTCTTGGATTCTCCGCACAAAGCGCCTATTAGTGTCATCAAAAGAGTCATCCAACTGAAAGGTTGTGTCCGTATTCTCACCATTGAACAATTTGTCAAAATACTCTTGCCATCGATGTCAGATCTCATCCTCCTTCACCAAGAGATGTTCCCTTTCATCCTTAATGCACTTAACTTGGTTGAAGTCCCTTGTCTTTCTCTCACGAACCTTAGCCATCCTATAAATGTCCTTCTCTCCTTCCTTCGTACTCAAATGTTGGTAAAGATCCTTGTACGCTCTACCCTTTGCCACACTTACAGCTCGCTTTGTATTCTTCTTTGCCACCTTGTACTTCTCTATGTTGTGCAGAAGTAAAGGTGGCAAAGAAGATTGTAAAGCGAACTGTAAGTGTGGCAAAGGGTAGAGCGTACGAGGATTTTTACCAACATTTGGAATACCACAATGAGTCTTGTTTTTTTTTTTCATCAGATCGTTGTACATATTGCATACATGAGGTTTGAAAGAATCTTGTATTTGGTTGGAGCTTTGTGTGTGCAGTACCCTGTGAGGTCCACTGTCCCATGGACCTGCACACCATGATAGAAGTCCTGTTAAACCATACTGATCCAAATATGTATGGTTCAAGTCAAAGCTGGTATTGATGGGCCAAACATTACTTCAAACTGGTTGTCTACAGTTTTTTTTTCCTAATGCACAGCTAACTAATATAATCCCAATGTAAGGTTTCAGTTGGTTGTCAAAACTATAGCAAACTTACTTGTCATTTGGCTGCAATAAAACAGGACAGTTTCCGTTCTCTTGACCTATTCTTTTTCGTTACTAGTTGATACACATTTGTAAGGATGGAACTATTAACATTGCTCAACTTTACCTTGTTTTATAGCCCCAGAGATGGTTGATAAATCAGTTGATGCCATTTTGCTTAAGCTTCGTGGTTTATATGCACGTGCAAAGGAGCTCTCTGAGAATGAAATCAGGTAAATATATCATAAAATCCTAGCCCCTGGTTGTCTGGAAGGACAATACTATGATAAATCAGAAAGTATCAATTTGTCTTCTAAGCTGTTTTTTCTTCCAAAAAATTATTGCTGACAGTTTTCTTGTTAAAATACCATTATGTTGAATTGAGGCATTGGGATTCACAGTTGAAATCTATTTTCCTTACTAAGAATGTTGTAGAATATTCATCTCTTCAAAGTAATTTGGTTTATGCCATTTGATTAAAAATATAATTTTATCTTTGGATAAGTCTGCTTCACCCCGTGTGTTGTGAAATGGGTGCGCAAGTTAGAGTCTGACATGGCCGTGGGTGTCAGATTCAGCAAGTTCAGAAAATAAGGATTCAGGGATTCGTCTAGCATATATATTGTAATTGTGAAATAGTTTTTTTGGCTTTCAATCATAAAAAAAAGCCTATACTTAGAAGATCCACTAAGTGTTGTACTCGAGGGAAAGACTCACCGGTGGCAACAAATGCCACACTAGCACAGGTTTAGTGCATAGGAAGCCACACTAGCTCAGAAGTGGAGTAAAAACAGTGGTCAGAAGACCCTCTCTCTCTCTACTGCTACACACGTTCCCAGGCCAATCATCATCCTCATCTGCCTTTTGCCATCATGCCCCTTCTCTCCCAAAGTCTCTCTGATGTCTATTAGCTGCTTCTCTCCCTCCACCGATAGGACTCCTGAATGAGTCAAACGCGTGTCTGTTCTTATCAAACATGACTACATGAGCTGACAACACGATATGCATCGATGTGGCAAAAAAAGCAAAGAAAAGAAATCAGATACACATATTCCTTTAGCACTAGTTTCTCCTCATGACTAATTCTGAACTATTCTAGTATAGATCATCTGTTAAATTTTGTTATTATTTTTTACCTATTAACTTAGTGGATTTTTGAGATTAGGATATACAGTTCATACAATGTGTTAAGGTACTAATCAAGACAAAAGGTACATGTGTGATTGAACCTTGAATTCTGGATACTCTTGGAAAACCAACTTCTGTGTTGTATGAAAATGGCATTTGTATCAGTCTCTGCCCATGTTACTGATTTTTAATTGGCCTTCTTAGTCAAGTCAATAAGATATCCTAATGTCCTGTTTGTTTTAGCTAGCTGAAAAACAACTGGTGGGACATTTTGTGAAGAGTTGGATTGTGAAGCTGAGGGTCCAAAAGCTGAAACAAACATGCCCTACCCGGATTCTTGGTGGGGCTGGATTGTTGTATGAAGGCTGCTTTAAGGCAGCTTAGATCGAAAGCTAACTGTTTGTTTTAGCTCGGGCCTAGGGATTATAAAAGCTAGAATCAGCAATCTGTAGCTGGAACAAACAGGACCAAAATGCCCACTAACCATGATACTTGGTAGTAGATGTATCTACTATGTATGTATTTAGTCACTAGTGTAGGGTGCTATCTGCACTTTGTACATTTTCATATCTAGCCGTTTGGGCAAAGAAATACATCTAAGTTGCTTTTCCTAACATGGTATCGAAGCTCTGGGGTTAGACCCGATCCTCAACGGTGGCAAGCAACTCCATTTCCCCCACTCCCCTTCCTTCCCTTTCCCCTCCTTCAACGGCGCGCAGGCTCTAACCGCGTCCGCTGCCTCCGCCGGCCGCGCGTGCCCCCCCGCCCCCTGGAAGATAATTCGCTACTCCCTCTTGTTTGATTGCTACAGATTAGGATTAGCAGCTGGTCATCTCTTGCTGTCGTCTCTAGTCGCTGTAGCAGTGTGGCAATAGGTCATAGCTGTAGTGGCTTACATCAGCCATGTAGAGTAGTTGGGGCTGAGCTAAGCCATGCAGTCATAGTACTAGGAGTTGGTGTACTCACCATACCATATTGTACCTGGTAGAGGTACTAGCACTTGTATACTTACTAGAGCAAAGGCAATGGAAACAGTTCAGTTGCCACATTTGAGCTGCTGCTCGTGCGGTGTGTGTGTTGTGCTCAACCCCTTCTTCAACCTCTAGCCGTGTGAGTTTGTGTGAGTGTTGGTGAGCTAGCTGCTCACTTGTGCAGAGAGATCGAGGGCCAACAAGTGGTATCGGAGCCAGGTTGCCACTGAGGCTGATCGCCGGCGATGGCAGGTGAGGACGTTGCATCGGCGACGCAGCATGGTGGAGCAGGAGGTCATTGTGTAGAGGACCGTGTGGGAGGTTAGCGGGGCTAATTGGCCGGTCCTCACCCGCACAAACTACGGCGGGTGGGCGGTGCTGATGAAGGTCAAGCTTAGGGCGTGGAAGCTCTGGAAGGCCGTCAAGGAAGGCACCGAGGATGAGGAGGACTGTTCGGCCATGGACACGATCCTCTCTGCCGTGCCTCATGAGTACGTGGAGTCGCTAGGCACTCTGCCAAGGCTGCCTGGGACGCCCTCAAGGCTATGTGGGTCGGGTCTGACCGCGCAAAGAAGGCGAAGGCGCAGCAGCTGCGGCTGGAGTACGAGTGCTGGCGTTACGCGACGGCGAGGCAGTGGAGGACTTATCGCTCTGTTTGCAGTTGCTCGTCAGCCAACTGGTGGCGCTGGCAGTCGCCATCACTGACGAGAAGGCCGTCGCCAAGTACCTGCGCGTGGTGCCGCCCAAGTACACACAGATCGTGCTCTCTATGGAAATGCTGATCGACCTGTCCACCCTCACGCTCGAGGATGTGATAGGGCGTTTGAGGGCGGTGGACGAGTGCGTGGAGATGGCGATGACAGTGGCCGGCGGCAAGCTGCTGATGACTGAGGAGTGGATGGCCCGGATGCAAGAGAAGTGGTCTGGGGAAGGCTCCTCCAGCCGCGGCGGCGATGGCAAGCGTCGCGGTAAGGCCCCGCAGAAGAAGAAGAAGGACAGTGAGCCTCTCCACATGGATACTTGTCGGCGCTGTGGGAAGACTGGCCATTGGGCCCAGAATTGCAAGAATCCCAAGAAGGAGGAGGCGCACCTCGCGCAGGTGGACAGCGAGGAGCTTGCCCTTCTGATGGCTGTGTTCTGTGCGCTGCATGACGTCGAGCTAGAGCCGGAGGCGAGGAAGGAGATAGCGGCTGCGGAGCAGGGGAAGGCGACGCAGGGCATCTTCCTTGATGAGTCGCGCGCCCAAGTCCACCTCGGACGAGTGGGCGGTGGCGTGGAGCAGAGGTGGTACGTGCACTCGGGCGCCAGCAACCACATGACCGGCTCATAAGTGCATGATCATATTGTGACTCTCCACCATGTGCCTTCTGAGGTTCAGTTAGCTTATTTTTTCACGAAGGCACAAACTAGGGCGTAACATGGCTATTTGCTCCCCAAACAAAGTGTTGTTGACCCACCAGGAGTATGAGGGGAGGTGTTAGATGTATATACTGTGTATGTATGTAGTCACTAGTGTAGGGTGCTATCTGCACTTTGTACATCTTCATATCTAGCTCTTTGGGCATTGGAATATATCTAAGATGCTTTTTCCTAACAACTGAGACCTCTCTCACCTATCTCGAATATCAATAGGATTTGACTACAGTAAATATTCCAATGCAGTCACTCTAATATTTGCTTTGAATTCTGGGAACTAATATATCAATTGGACATCGCTCTGTGCTTCCATTTTTGCTATTGCTGCATGCGAATTTTAACAGTTCGAACTTTGAAGAGTCTGGTGCAGCAGTGGAAAAATTTCACAATTATGCCTTCTTGCAGTGCCTCAAACGCTTTGATTGGATTACTAGATGGTTTGTTGCAATCTGGAGCGTCAACTGCACAAAAGAAAAAGATAGGTGAGCATTGGAATTTAGAACCAAGATTTTGCAAGCTAGGATCATGCTTTTTAACTCAGTGCATGCAGTACCATAGTTGCTTTCTATATTTCAGAAGTTGGTGAGCAGAAAAAGAAGAGGATCAAGTCTGATACAGATTCTGCACGATTTTCTGCTGCATCTATGAGGAATCAACTTGACCAAGCTGCAAGCCTGAAAGGAGAGCAGGTTTCAACTTCAGCTTTATTTAATAACATCAGTTAGTTTTTATATTTCTTGTATTCATCAGTGCATGCTTTACTAGGCAAGCTTCTACCTTCCATGTTGGAAAAGATAGGAACTTCCCTGTGTTTTGAAGTACTCCCTTCATCTTGAAATATAATTATCCTAGGATTTCTAGAACATGTTATGGGGTAAAGCAATTATGCACGTAAAGCCCCCTCCCTTAATCGTGGGGAGATATTGTGCTTACCATATTTTGAGCTTGGTGGTTCGGTTGACAATCAACATTGTGTTGGGTTCTATAGGTAGGCATGTGATTGGGCGCCTAGGGAAATTAATTCACCTAGAATCCCTTATAATATGGGACTAATTGTAAATGCTTCAATGCCTTATATTTCAGGATAGACGGAGTAGTACTGTAGGACTTGCTGCAATTTGTTGGAGGCACTGATTTTGCATATGTCCCTTCCTCAAAACATCCATAATGGCAACCACGCGTTCAGGAGAGCTAACAGGACTGTACAGCAGACCCTCTCAAATAATTTGTGGGTCTTGATATCCAAGGCGCTCTAATTGTGGGAGTCATCTTAGAATTTCTATCTCTTTGGGATCTTGTCAGGGATGTCATCTTGCAGCCTGGTGTCGAAGATTCTCGTATTTGGCATTTATCTTCAAGTGGCCAATATTTGGCAAAGTCGGCTTACAAAAACCTCTTCCAGGGAATGACTTAGTTTTGGTCTCTAGAATTTGGAGAACCTGGGCTCCATTCTTTTAGCACTGGCGAGTCTTTAACCTTTTAAACCAAGTGTACTTCGGGTTCTTTTCCTGTCTTTTATCTTCTATAATATAATGATACACAGCCCTCCTGCGTGTTTGAGAAAAAAAGAGAACCTGGGCTCCAGGAATATGTAAATTCTTCTTGTGGTTGGTAGCTCATGATTGGTGTTGGACAGAAGACTGTTTGTCAAGAAGAGGGCTTCCTCATCCTGAAGATCTCACTGTGATCAAGCTGAAGAATCTATCAACCACTCGCCCTTGTCTTGTGTTTTTGCAAGAGAGTTCTGATTCAAACTTGCAGCCTGCAGTTATTTTCCCCGCAGATCAGTGAGGAGTGTCACTAACCTTGGGATTTGAGAGTCTAATCATTCCATTAGTGGAGATTACTATATATAGGAGCCTCATGGGCCATATGGGCCTATATTAGATGGGCCTTCATATACTTAACACGTTCTTTGATGATTGGTGTGCAAGAATCAATTTGCAGGCTGGGCATCAATTATAGAAAGGTCTCAATTCCCTTGTTATTGGCGCTTGGACCTGTGGATTCATCGTAATAAATGTGGTTGATGGTGCTTCTCCAAGCTTGGCATAGCCTTACCACTCATTGGCAAGGAGTTATTTTTTTGGGGTTTGGCCGGGGCTCGAGGTATCTCCTACCTTATCGCCCTTTAGCTGGTGTAGTGTGGTTGCTTTGATCGGGGTTATTTGATCTTTGTCACATGCGGGTCTGGTTTTTGATAACTTGGTTTTGTCATGTGGGTGTGTGTGTTTGTAAGGGCTCTCCCCCTTTTTTCTTAATATAATGATATGCAACTCTCCTGCTTGTTAGAGAGAAAAAAAATTGTAAGTGTTTGAATTTGGATATTGTTAGAATGACACAATTTTGACTTCTGGAGTACAGAAAACTAATATATTAGGATGGTATTACATGTGATTTGCTGAGGCTTGCCTTGAAAATGGGAGGTCCACCAATTCTTCCATTCTCTTTATTTGAACGAGAATTACTTTTTGCCTTTCTAGAAATGGTTTCTAGAGACTGGTTTTTTATCGGTTAGCTAGAGTTATCGAAGCTTATGAGGCTTGTAATCACTGGCATTTAATGGGATCTAAATTGCTACTTTAAGTAAATTTTTATCACTTAGCTAGAATTATCGAAGCTTATGAGACTTGGATTATATTTCAGCAACTCTGTTTGCTAGGCCTAGTTTATATCCTACAAAAATCCAAAGGCAAAATTGTAAACCTTGATAAATTTTTGCTTATAAGAAAGTGTAGTTTGATCATATAAATATGCACATTGCAATCCATCTTTGTGATAAGATCTTTAATATATCGAAATCCATGTTTAAATTGATCAAATTTTGTTGTATTATCTCCAATAGTGTCAAGGGCGTCGTGGTCTAGGGTAGTTGGACCTCGGCTACGTAGTTCATAGCCTTGATCCGTGAGGTGGAGCGACTCCTAGTATGTCAAGAGCTCTCAGCGTCACTAGTGATGAACGGCGTCTTTGGGAGATAGCAGGCGCGCGGAGCCTCTCTTCTTTGACTAGTTCGGCTCATGAAGAGTAGTAGGTTGGTGTCTGGGGGTGTCGGTCGCTTGTCTCAGTTCTAACGGGTGCGCTTGTAATCACAAAATATATTAGAGTGGCGTGTGTAGTGTGTGTTGGTGTTTATGTTTGTTTGTGGTTGTGTTGCCCCTTTTTCTTCTTAATATAATGATATGCAGCTCTCCTGCGTGTTCGAGAAAAAGAGGTTGGGGCGAGGTTTTACCCCTCGGCACCCTATTGTTGAAGGGGATGAGATTAAGACGAGGAAGGTAGATTAGGAGATAGGAATATTGTTCTTGCTTAATCCTTCACCAGGAGCCATTCGGCTTACATATAGGCACTAGGCTGCCAATAACTTCTCTAATCTCTCTCTCAATCACTCATTAATATGTTTAGCCCCAGCTAATGGTGCGCCTCTAATTAACAGCAAATTAGCCACTTTCCTGGCCAGCTGTTCCTGCCTTCTTAGCTCTGCGGCTAAACTGCTCTCCCCACATGACAAATAGTCCAAACAAAAACTTTTGTTTGTTTTAAACTATAACTTGGTTTTGGTTGACACTGAATTTGTGTTGCAGGAAACAAGTCATTAGTGTACTTCAAGAAAAATACTTGTATAAATATTCAACTTAGCCTACTTTGTTATTGTTATATATATATATAAGAATTCAGCTTGGTGTTAATTCCTTATGAAATTTTTGTGATATTCTCATCGTAAAACATCCCATTAAGTGATAATAGGGTAGATTGACTCTAAAGCAACTAAGGTAGCCCTATTGCACAATATAAATTATACATTGCAATATTATTAAATATTAAATCAAACTGACTGTCTGGAACATGGTTTGTAGATAATATGTTTGCTATGGATATTATTACGTCATAAAATCTCCTTATCATTGATTTGACATTTATACAATTAATCAGACTATCAGGCAGTCTCAAGTTAAAACTAATTATAAACATCATATTATAGGACAATGACTAAGTTTGGTTACTCAGATTTTGAGCTCTGGCAATGCAATGCCTAGTACATAGCTTTAGCTCTTTCCTTCTGTTGGTGCACATGCATGCTTTATGTATATTTGTTTAATTATTTAATAGTTACAACTTACTTTCATCTCTGCCATTTCAGGTTGCTGCTAGGGTAAAATCAGATGATGAAAAAGATGAGTGGTTTGTCGTGAAGGTCATACATTTCGATAAGGAAACAAAAGAGTATGTATCTATTTTATTTTTTTCTAAGCGTTTCTACCCCTGTTTTAAAGCGAAATGGTGATTTTGCCCTCGTTTTTTTTTAACTTTGTGATTTTACCACTGCGATTTTCAAAACGAAGGCAAAGTTTACCCCTGCTCTGTGAAGTCCTTCTAACGGTGTTAACTTTTAGACCAAAGGACAACTTTGCCCAAGCGTTTTTACCCCTGTTTTATTTTGATATTTGTGTTTTTACCCCATTTTAGAATAAGACAACTATATTGTATTTTGACAAAATTTAATAGATTTGGTCAAATATATATGGCACAATTTGCAGTTATTTCAAATTTGATTCCGGTTTGACTTTTCTAAATTTGTAAAATAAAAATGTCCGACAAACAATTTATTTTTCCAGTAACATCACAACCATTATATGCTCATATACATTACTGTATTATTTAATTTGCCAACTCCACGCCCCAAAAGAGAAATACATGGCACAACGTTAGCAGCAGATTCAGAGTGATCAAACTCGAGCACCAATCGAATCCAAGCAGTAGCGACAATGCGCTTGGTGCAAAAGCCTGCTCTCCAGATGCAGCAGTGGGCCCATGCTCATGGCCACGGACGTCAGTGTGTTCTGCCGGAGCTTCAATGAGAGGAGCAGAGCGCACCTATGATGCTTGTGCTAGAGAAAGCGAGCGCCATTGTGCCAGACTGTGCTGCCGCCCGCGCGTCACCTCGCCATCGCCCCTCAGCCGCGCCCGGCTAAAGCCTGCCCGCCTCCCGCTCACGCACATCTGGCTGCCAGTGACGCCAAGACGCTGCCAGCGCCGAAGTCCTACGCGCACCCAGCCTCCAAATCGCGCCGCCGCCGCCTCCAAATATTGCTAGGGTTTCACAGTTTGGGAACAGTCTGGGAGCAAGAACGAGTGAACGACTGAGTGTGGGGAAGAGATAAGAGGAGGCTAGTTTGGTCATTTTGTGTGGTCCGATTTTGTTTTTTAATTTTTTCCATCGTTTAATTCAGGGACATCTAACACCGTTACGAAGTAGGGGTAAACGGAGACTTCGTCTGAAAAAAAACGAGGGCAAAATCACAAAGTTAAAAAAAAGGGGTACAATCACCATTGTATTATAGAGCAAAGGTAGAAACACCAAATTCTCTTTTTTCTATCTGTAGGGCAAACATTTGTTTGTGATATAAAAGTTTACTCGAGGGAAAAATTACCTTTGAATGGAGGTAATGTTAACCTTTCTTACAAGATCCTGGGTAGGTAAGGAACCACATTATTGATGGGAAAATAGGAAATTTTAAGGTATCCGCTGTATTGCTAAAAATTGCCCTGCAGAAACTGAGACAGCTATGGGGATGACATCTCCAGCACTGAATCTCACTATAATAAATAAGAAAAAGAGGAAAAGTGGGCATTGCATTTTATCATGTAGAGAGGAGGTAATGACAAGCTGTTACTGGCTTGGCATGCAATATAGTTTGATGAGATTTATATCATGTTTGTGATAACCCTTTGTTAGTGGTTTCTCCTTACTAAACAATTTGTGCTAGTTGCCCCTGGACAACGTATCAGCGACCATAACATTTTAGTGTGCCTGTTGCTGTTGCCTTATATGTGACCATCGTTCTGTAAGTATCACTCATTTAATATTGATGCATGTGCAGGTATGAAGTACTTGATGAAGAACCAGGTGATGACGAAGAGAGCACACAAAAGTATGAGAGGTTTAAGTTCCTAACTATCTGTCCTTTTTTAGTTCCTTGTATATGAACAATTAATGACATCACCTCCAATATTTTTCTCTGAATATTCGACTTTGAGTTTTGAGTTTTTTTCCTCGAATATGAATGAGACCTGTGATCATATCATTAAAGACGAAAAGATACACAAATAACACACGGGGAAATGGAATGCCCCTCCACTACCACAAGGCAAACAGCCTAAGCTTAGAAGACACTACATAGCGGCCTCCTTTGAAATTGCCCTAAGGACAACATCAACACTAGCAGACTTCCCATTAAACACACACCTGTGGCTGACTAGTGAAGTGAGAAATCATAGGAGATAATTGGAGGGGGATCTCGATAATGAGGAAGATCGTCTTCTGTGCTTGAGTCGACAGGTTTTCGGTTTTTCTCTTCTTCCCTCTCCTGTTGGCTGGGCAATGTAGTGACTTGGTCTTGTCTTCCACATGGGTCCCACGGCTGGTTGACACACTTGTCAAACTACTAGACTCCTTGCTCTCCATCATGGGTGTGAGACTCCTTGTTCAGAGTTCTGGAGCCGTTGGGATTCCAGACATGTTTACTTAGTGCTGAGCCAACTTTCGCAGGTTGGTGGCATAAGTTTATCAAGCGTGCTATGAAGGAGAATAGGAAGGGCATCAACATGGTGAGTGTTTTGGGTGCTTGGCGACTTTGGAAACATAGAAACTCTGTTTTTGAAAGAGCCAGCCCAAATTTGGGTGTTCTTCTCCAGTCCTCAAGGGACAAACCTCACCTTTGGTGCTTTGTGGGAGCGCAAGGTCTCCGATCTTTAGGTCAAAGTGTTGTGGTAACTTAGCTATCAGGGTGTGTGGTATTCTCGAGAGAGTAGTCCTCTAGTGGAGCTCTTTGACTTTATGATTTTTCCCTCCTTATTGAGCTTCTATTTCATGTTTAAACTCACTCTTCTCCTCTAGGCCGGGTAGAACTCCTGCTGGTCCTTTCAAAAGAAAAAAAAAAGGAAATTTGGCCAAGCATCGCAGTTCACAGCAATAGATATGTGCACATAAAAAAAAAACAAAAAAAAACATGTTTCCTTACAGCTCGGTCCAGAGTAAGGAGGTTAATTTTGTAAGGGACCGTTTTTTCCTCTCTTAATACAAAGATACACAGCTCTTCTGTGTATTCAAGAAAAAAAGACATTACTGCCCCATGGAAACCCTTCTTGTCCCCAAGCAAAGGCATGTAATCGAGAGCAAGTTTCCTTCATCAGTAAATGTTAGCAAGTTTCTATGCTATTTAATGTATGGCAATATTTGGCACTTGTACAGGGAGACCAGCCCATGGCCTAGATGCATCAGTTTCTGCAGCCAAAGACACCTAATACGTAAAGCCCAACCAAGGATCTCAAGGTTGTGTGTGCCAAGCCCCCCGTACTCAAGTGGTTGAAGGAATCGACCCCAGGCAACCAGACAGTTACCACCATTAGCCTTTTTCTGGTCCTTCCAAAGAAAGCCCTCCGGCGTTTGTCAATTGCCTTAATAACCCATTTTGGTAAGTCCATAGCAATCATCAGATAGATTGGTATGGCAGAGAATACCACCTTAACTTAAATTAGGCAACCTGCTCGGTTCATTAGGGAAGCTTTCCATCCCGAGAGATTATTCGCCACTTTGTCAACGAGAGGAAGCAGCTCCGCTTTATTGGGTTTCATGGTATTATTTTCTCATCATATTCTCTGAATCAATTGCTATTATTTCCAAATTAAGAAAACTGCAAGTAAAGTGTTCGACAGAAAACTGTTATGGCTCGTTTGGATTTCATTTTGGAAGAATTGGAATCTACTTTATGGACTAGGCTATTTGGCTTGGAATTTGACATTCCACCACTTTCCAAAGTTTAGATATAAGCTTGTCTTAAATTCATGGGGTGAGAGATAGAAATTGATTCCATAGATCCTCATGCTATATTTCTGCTATGTAACTTATAGCACGCTTTTTGGCAAGCAGAACTGCAGTAAATAAGTATCTCTCCCATATGGCCAACAACAGTATACAAGTATATTCCCCCATGTGGCCATATTAACTTAATTTATCTGTGTCTAAATTGTGATTATTAGAATGGATTTCAATTCAAGGATCCAAACAGGGCCTTAGTGTCCTTTTGCTTTATGTATGAAGTTCGCTGTGTGTTTGATGGGATTCAACCGAGCCTAGATAGTGTTCTGGTTTCAGTAAAAGATGAGTTTCTCTTGTGGAGTTTGGCTGGAGCTCGGGGAATATCCAATCTCCTTGCTCTAGAGCCAGCCAATGTGTGAGTTCCTCTCTAGTGGTCTTGGGTCAAGTTTGAATTTGAGAGAGAGGTACAATATTAGATGTAAAAGGGTGTGTGTAGGTGTGTGGCTGTATGGGGTTTCTAAACCCACTCCTTTATTCTTCTTAATATAATGATACGAAGCTCTCCTGCGTGTTCGAGAAAAAAAAGTTCGATGTAAAGCAACGCTATTTGAAATTAAGTAAACTGTGGGTATTCATTGACCCTATTCTTAAAGTTTGGCTCGAACTGATGGTGCCCCTTTTCTATGCTTTTCAGGAAGTACAAGTTGCCTATGTCTTACATTATTCCATTTCCAAAGAAGGGGGATCCTTCGAGTGCCCCAGATTTTGGGCAGGGTCGACAAGTTTTAGCGGTTTATCCTGGCACAACAGCATTATACAGAGCTACCGTAGCTTCTCATCGTAAGGTAACATCTTAAAATGCACACTAAAACTATGGATAGTTAGTCATAATAATGATGCAAAAATTTCCTTGCGTACTTCAATTTTGAAATATGATGCATTTATGCATTATTGTCATGTTTAACTTCGTCAGTGTTATGTGGCTGGAATGTCAGCTATTGGTAGAGGAAGTAGTTGTGAGATGACTCTAGTGGCGTGCCCGTGCCATGGTTTCAGTTTGCTTATGTGGAACAAGTTTAAGCCCTTGCCCTTGGCAGCAAGGCTAGGAGAGATGCCACTTTGCCCATGCACTACAGGACTTTATAGGGTCCACTGTAGTGTGGCCCTTAGGGATGGCAACAGGGCGGGTCGGGGGCTGGGTGAAGCCCTGAAACCCGAAATGAAAACACGACCTGGCTCCGGACTCGATCTGGGTGGAAATCAGCACCCACCCCCAACCTGACAGGCCCCTTGAACCCGACGGGCCCTTGAAACCCGAGTAACCATAGCATGACAGTAGTAGACGATATATCTTCACATGTACTTTATAAAAAGAAAGACACATGTGGGCATAGAGCAATTTAACAATCACCACACCACACCACACCACATGACCACAACTACTTTGCAACCAGAAGTCTAGAACCAACCTAGCACATATGCTTTACAGTGGTTTACCACAACCACAAGTCCACAATCACAATTCACAAGGACACATTCACTATCTAGCCAATAAGGGCAGTCCCAATGGGATGACTAGGATGCTTTCCACGGCATTAATTAGGTGGCAAGTAAGCAAAATGGTGACATCACATTGGAATTAAGGTGGAGAGAGAAGGAAATGGTTTCTAGTACATGAAACTGTCTACATGGGCACCAAGATAGAGTGTGATAGGTAGATGATAGGAGAGAGAAGATAGTGGATTGGCTGAAAAGTATTTTGTAAAAATAATCCATTGGGAATATAGTTTCTATGTGTAGTGTCTACATGATATGGCAAGTAAGGAAACTATCCCATAGTTTTTGCCTTTGGGTTGTGACTGCTCTAATGTCAGTGTACAAGTAGCTCAGGCGTTTACATTTGATGCATTAGCCGCTTGAGATCCACTGCTGCTAGGAGTTGATATCGCTGAAAATGCAGAAGATGTGCTATATGGTTGGTAACATATGTAACAGAAATTACATGAGAAACACCGTAAAAAAAATGCAGAGGAAAATATATGCCATCTTTGGTACACTAACAAATGGGATTTGTTGGCCAACAATTGAGTCCCTGAGGATAACATGTCAATAGTAGTACTAGTTACCAGGTGAAAGAAAAATCTCTGTTTAGGGGCCTGTTTGGGACTGTGCCGCTCCACCTTTTTTAGCCAAATAGATGCAGCTCCCAAACTCTGCTCTAGGAAAAAAAGTGGAGTTGTGAGAGCACCTAAAGAGGTGCTTTAGAAACTCTGCTCCAAGGTGGAGTTTGTTGAGCAGTCACGAACAGGCCCTTAATGTCAAACTCGTTTGCAACTGCTTCTGTGAAAATACAGTTCGAGATCACAAGTATGCCAGGGCTGACATCATTGCATCAGGAATAAAGAATGCCAAATCCATTTGAGCATTTCTTTGGTCGCTGGTTGTCTCACAACTAAACTAAACTCACTAAAGCAGCACGATGTAGCACAATTCATCTAGAACTCCATTAACTAGTGAACTACCTCCCTGATTTGCTACTACAAAGTGTGGGCATATGGCTCAGCTTTGGAGGACCGTGGATCAGAGGACTGGAGGGGGAGTTTCCTTGCTAGAGGTAAAGATAGCGGCCATGCCGGGGATGCGTGACCTGCCGTATGGCTTGAGAGGAAGAGCCAGCTTAGGAGTTCGCGGCCCCGCCACCTATCTATGAGGTTTGGGGTTAGGCTCCTCGCCTCCTTGTTCCCACAACAGGACTTGTTGCCTCATGGAGTCAGAGTAGCGTGTTGGTGGCGTGGTGTTGGTGCCAGACTACCACAGCTATGATCGCGTCATTGGGATGCCGGAGTAGGGATGGGAGAGAAGCCAGGTGAGATGGTGGAGGCATTGGTGCTGTCGTGGACTCTCTCGCATGCGGCGGCGGCGGCGCTGGGGGCTTGGGCGCTAGGTTAGGTATGTTGTATGTGGCGCTCTGCTATTGAGTTGTTAGTTGGGTCCTCACGGGGCAACAGCCAGATCCGGCCCAACACCTGCCCTAGTTTGGGTCTCTCAACCCATGGACCTGCTGGAAAAAAATAGGACCTGGTCCTGCACCCGCTGGGTCTAAAACCCATGGGAATGGGACGTGACCCTGACCTGCTGCTATTCCTACTCTCGATTCTCGCTAACATTCTTCCCTCAACCCCATACTGGTACGTTTGTTCTAGATGATCTCTTAATTCAGCTGATGCTCCTTTGCCAACAGTGGCTAAGCTAGAGCAAATTGAAGAGGGTTATGCCTGGCTTGAGGTTGCATTGACTTATCTCTGTTAGACAACAAACCACAACTTGGAATTGGGAATTCGGCTGGCACTGTTACTGCAGCTGCTTGTGATTCCATTTAAAGAGCTAAAGATGTACTTTACAGCTAAAAGCAAAACAAACTTAACAACTAAAGCACAAGAAGTTGAAATGGCTGTGATCAGCCCTAATAGACTCAATAGCTAAAGAGCTCTAATAGCTTTAACACACACACACACGCGCGCTTGTCCTTTCAATTCTCCCCGTAAGCCTTGTGTGTCGTCTTCGAATTGATGTGGATCAGCCCAATTCGCGCCCTCATCTCCTGGAACTTTGCTCGTCCAAGAGACTTGGTGAGAATGTCAGCAAGTTGATCTGCCTTGATGTGGTTGGCCTTCACACTCCTGTCCTCCAGGAGCTTTTGATGAAGTGATACTTGATCCGGATGTGCTTGCTCCTTTCATGGAAGACGGGGTTCTTGGCAAGTGCCAGGGTGACTTGCTGTCCACCCTGAGCTCGACTGCTTTGGCCTCCCTGCCGAGCAGTTTGCCCAGTAGCCAAGCCAACCAAAGTGCTTGCATTGTGGTAGAAGTGGCGGCAATGTACTCAGCTTTGCAGCTTCACAGCGCCACCACCCACTGCTTGAGGGACTGCTAGCTGACGTGGCGGTTGCCGAGGAAGACAAGCGTGCCGCTTGTGCTCTTGTGTCAATGTCGCCGGCGAGGTCAATGTCGCGATGCCGGCGATGCACGTCGTGTTGGGGCTCCTTGTGTAGTGCGCATCAGTAGTTGAGGGTGCCCTCACGTAGCGCAGATCCGATTGATCGTCTCTTTGGTGCTCCACCGTTGGCGCTCCATGAACCGGCTCACGTGCGACGGTGAACGCCAAGTCCATTTGGGTGTGCACTAGGTAGCGCAGTCGTCGACAATGCGCCGCATACTATGTGGCATCAACCTCTTCGTCGTCTTTGTGGTGGCTCGACTTGACTTCCCATCAATGTGGGTTGAATTGCATCCATCCGTGCCACCCAACTCCACGATGTGCTTGGCGAGTGTGCTTGATGGAGGGTGATGCGGTGTCGCCCTAAGCGCACCTCGACACCGAGGTAGAAATAGAGGCCAAGGTCACTCATCTAGAAGGTGGCCTTCATACGCTCCTTGAACGCCTCAATCTCGCTTCTCGTCGGTGATGACAAGGTCGTCAATGTAGACGCCCACCAGCAAGATGGAGCGACAGCTGCCCCGCGGGTACACCGGAGCCTCATGCGTGCTCTACTGGAAGCCGTCCTTGAGCGTGCTGTCTAGCTTGGCGTTCCACGCCCGCGGTGCTTGTTGCATGCCATAGAGTGCCTTCTATAGCCGTAGCACCTTGCCTTCCTTGCTGGTGACGACGAAACCAGGGGGGGGGGGGGGCTGCCACACGTACACCTTCAAGTCACCGTTGAGGAACGCCGACTTTATGTCCATGTGATGGACGCGCCACCCCTCCTGGCCGGCAGTGCGAGGACGCAGATGGACTCGATACGAACCACGGGTACAAATGCGTCCTCGTAGTCGATCCCTTCTTGCTGGACGAAGCCGTGTGCGACAAGCCTTGCCTTGTGCTTGACCACCTCCCCTGCCTCGTTCTTCTTCAGCTTGAACACCCATTTCAAGGTGATCGGGCAGTGGGCATCGAGCAGGTCGACGAGCTCCCAAGTCCAGTTATGCTCGACGGAATCCATCTACTGCATTGCAGCGCGCCAGGCTACATCACCCTCAGCCTGAGCAAAAACACAAGATTCCCCGGTGTGCGTCAGGTGGAGCTCGACGTCGATGTCGTGCTGCACAATCGCCGGCTCCGTCTGGTCACCGAGGATGTCGTCCATGGTGCGGTAGCGCAGCGGGGTGTTGTCGTGCATAGCGTCGAGGTGGTCCTTGTCGTTATCCAGTGGTGTGGCATACGTTGCTGCTCGTCGTCTGTTGGAAGCTGGTGTAGCTGCCGGCATAGCTGGCGGAGAGGCGACCGTAGGCGGTGTGCCCGCTGGTACCCCCTAGTCTAGAGATGGTGATCTCGATAGAGCCGATGATGTCTGGGGTGTCAGGGCAGGCGAACTGGACATATATGCAGATTCACTTGCTCCCTTGGCTCCTCCGAGATGCACGTAGTTGACGATGAAGTCGCTCGTCATTGTCGCCATGCCGCTGCTGGTCTCCTTGTCCTGCAGCCGTGTCCTTCATCGAAGACGACTTTGTGCGCCACGTGCACATGCTGGGTTGTCGGGTCAAGGACACGGTACGCCTTGATGCCCTCAGCGTAGCCGATGAAGACTCTTGGCGTGCTCCAACTTGCCGAGGTGGTTCAGCTCCTTGACATATGCCAGGCAGCCGAATGCATCAAGGTATCCGACCGCCCGCGTGCGCCCATGCCAAGCTTCGTAGGGGGTCTTGCCTTCGCTCTTGGCCGACGATCGGTTGAGCAGGTGAGCGGTGGTCATCACTGCCTCTCCCCAGAAGGTCACCAGCATGCCCCTCTGCTTGAGCAGGGCACTCGCGGTTGCCACCACAGTTTGGTTTCGGCGCTTGACCACACCATTCTGTTGTGGCGTGTACGGGCGGCGAACTCCGCCACAGTGAACTCCTGTCCATTGTCGGTGCGCAGCACCTGGAGCTTGTGGCCGCATTCCTCCACGGTGGACATGCTTGATGGCGTCTGCTGCTGCTGCTTTTGTTGGGAGGACCGCCCACATGAATCAGGGCACGTCGTCCACCAGAGCAGGAAGTAGCGCCGGCCTCCAGGAATTGCTGGTGTGATAGGGCCACACAGGTCGCCGTGGACGAGCTCGAGTTGCTTCTGCGCGCGTTACGAAGCCTGACAAGGAGCTTCTGCTTTGTCACCACGCACGTGTCGGACAGCTGCTCGACGTGGTCGGTTTGGGGTACCCCTCGTGCCTTCTCCTTGCGCCCCAGCTTCTGCAGGGCCTCGAAGTGGAGGTGCCCGAAGCGCTCATGCTAGCCTTGTGCCAAGTATACTAATCTGAATGTCACCAACTTTTGCAACTGATCTAATCTGAATGTCGCCACTTTTAACTCTGAAATTACGTTGGCCGATGGGCTGTCCTTGTGCCAAGTATACTGACGATCCCACATCATCTAGAACTTAATTCAGTGTTAACCATTGAGATTATTGAGCTTTTTGTGAAAGCCAAAAGTATCAACATGTGAAGTTGGTAGAATCATTCATATTAAAGGGTATTATGGAGTTGGAAGAAGATTGAAAAGAGTTTATAAGGTGTTGGGGAATGTGTAAGTGGGAAAATATGTAGAACAATAGATATTATGTTGAGTACAAGGTATGTACGCATTAATGCATGTATAGGTTGGCCGGTTGGGCTAGGGCCGCACGGCCAGCCCAAGCCCTATCTAATAGGGATGTTTGCAGTGCAGGGTGGGGTGGGGTGGGGTGGGGTTTGGGGAGTAAATGCAGAAAAGCGAGTAACGTAGTCTGACATAACTGTTTAAGGAGAAATATTGTTGTACCTCCTTTTATGACAACCAAGGGCAGAGACAGGGCTGGTGCTGCAGCACCGGTCCAGGCAACAAAAACTCGTACAAAATGCTGGTCCAGCTGGTTGGCACCACAGCATCTTATACTTAGAATCAAGACATGATCAGACTGCAGTGTAGTTAGCACCTTCCCTTGCCTGTGTTTTGGCTCCGCCCTTGAAAACTGTTACGAACCTTTGGTATCAGAGTCAGGATGGAAATGGATCGAATACGCATGGAATCGGATTTGGATGTCACCTTTTACCACATTTTAAATCGAATTTAGATACGAATATGAATATTATCGGATACGGATACGAATACAAAACAGATGGTTCGAATTCCGATTCGAAATTGGATATTTACTCAGTTCACCGCGAAGTGAATGTCTAAATTCAACCTAGATGATTACAATTTCAGGTTCGGCGATAATAAAAGTGAACTAAATTGAAGCACGCACCTAATAATCTCCTAGATAGAAGTGACAAAAACAGATAGCCATTATCAATATTTTTGGAATTACAAAATTACTAATTTGTGTATATAACATAGACAAGGACAGCTCATAAAAATAATATAGTTATTAATAAGTATTTATATTAATTAAAAATATCAATTATTTAATCAATATTATATTTATATAAATATATAATATATAATTATTAATCATAAATATAAATTATATAAAATAATTTATATCAACAAATAAATAAACTAAAGTATTAGAAAATACTACAATTAATTTAATCTTTATGTATCCTTAATAATTTTAAATTAATACTAAAAGTTATTTCTAGATATACTATTAAATGGTTCTAATGCATCATTAGTAACAATAAAATTAAATAAGTGGTTACTCATTATGAAGAGAAAACTTTTAAATAGGTTCATGCTACCTTGTTTTCTTTGCGGATACGGATACTACCAGATATTGTCGAATACGGATCTGGAATCGGATAGAGAAAAACACTGAAAAACGAATTCGGATATATCCATTTAGTTACCACATTAGAAACGGATACGAATACGGATATCCATATTACAAGTTTTAGCAGATACAGATATCGGATAATTCGGATATCCATTTCCATTTCCATCCTTATATAAGAGAGCATAACCATGGCCCACACGAAGGAGAAAGACTGGCGCAATGACGGACGCGCGGATCAGAGGAAAGCCGCGGTGACACCACGCGAAATAGAGGAAGGATCCCAAGAAAAAAAATGGATCGTTGGGGAATTAGAATAGTCTAATCCTAACCCCCAATCCATGGCTTTGGTACCATGTTACAAACCTTTGGTACCAGAGAGCATAACCACTCCACAAGTGGAGATGACTATATATAGAGAGCCTCATGGACCATATGGGTCTATAGTATAAGGGCCTTCGTACACTTGAGAAAAACAACTATCATGTAAGAAATATTATGTCATGAAAGACAGCGGGTATACTACGTGTTGCCATGTATAAACTGATATGCTTATATGCATTGTACAGACATGGTACATCCACATTGATGTTGCGCAGGTAATTGCTGGACATTTGTTAATTTTCTTAAATTCACCTGTGGTTCTTTTTATGACCACCACAAAAAATGGTGCTAGTAGTTCTTAATTGGCTCCCCCTTTTTGTTGGCTTGCTTAGTCATTAATGCTCTTGTCTTTCTGTCATCATGTTGATGTGAAACCGGGCTACAAAAAATCCAGAGGAAGTCTGATGAGTAAGTTGTTTGTGCATTTACAATCTCATACTAGTTCATTGTTTACGGTTTGTTTTAGGTTCAATTTCATATACTAGTCTGCCTTCGGAAAACTGCAGTCTGCCCCTACAACACTGTGGTCATGGCATTTGATTCAAACAATGGAGTGTTTACATTTGGCTGGAATTTCCATTTAGGGTTACTGTCATGCTTTTGTAGCTTTGGCAAAGTTTATGCAAAAGATTTATTTATTAACATCTACAATGCCAAATAAATACCATCAAGACATATTCCATGGTTGATTTAATGAAACTGATTTGATGTTGTTGCATTTTCGATAAACTTAGACGAAGTCAGAGAAGTTTGACATAGGACAAAATTAAAACACATAACATTTTGATAGTGGGGGTACTATGTAATCGAAAGTAGTATTATTATGTCTTCCTGAAACTATTTTGTGACTATTACTTCTCTTTTGACAGTTATATTCTGGAGTTTGATGATGATGAGGAGGACGGGTCTCTACCGCAAAGAGCTGTACCGTTCTATAGGGTGGTTGCCCTCCCGGAGGGCCACCGGCAGTGAAGATCTTTGACGCGGTTGCGCATTTGTAGTGCAACAGATAACGCAAGATAGGATGTCTTGAGTGTGACAATGTGGTGGTCATATCTCTGCAGCTCGGCGCACGTTGAAGTGCAGGCTATAGCGCCTGTGATTTGAGATGAAATAACTTGTATAGCCAGCTTATATCCTGTAAATAGATATGGATGTAGTGTTTTCTGTAATAAAAAAATGTTTGCCTCCAAACGCTTATCCCAAATTATTTTTGGTAGAGTTAGATCAACTCAGCAAAGATGAATTTTACAGATACCTAAGTAGAACAACTTTTCTACCAAAAAAAAAACAGGGTATCTTATGTGTTGTAATTAATATGCAGAATTTCCTTAGGGGCAGTGCATTGCTACACCTAGACAGTTTCATAGGTCATCTAGAGAGACACCTAGGATTAGGATTTTTAATGATGTGGAGGAGAAAGTTGTTTCGTAGAGAAAAAACATCATGAGCAAAAATTTAGGACTCACATTGTTATGGCACTGTAGCGTGTGAACAATATTGAATTATATTATATTAGATTGGTTTGGTTTAGTAGGAAAGAGATAAGTTAGATGGGATCGGTTAGGATATTTCCTTAAGAGTAAGTCAGTTATTTGTATAAAAGAGAACCTAGTATCGATTGCAATCAAGCGAGAAAAACCTAAGTAGTGGTACGGATCAAAAGGGTTCTTTCTGCTACCTAGCCGATGAGATCCTAATATAGGTCATGTTGAGCCTCAGGATTAAAGGTTCCTGATCGAGAAACCCCTCGACCGACCCCTCTAGGATCGTCCGGGGGCTATACCCATCGAGTACGCTTGCGCGTACCTCAGGCCAAGGAATCCGGCCAAGCTCGAGCACGTCTGCCATCGCTACTCAGTGCTTGGTGGCTTGACCAAGCATTTGAACCTAATCCTTAGCTCACTCCTGGTTGTCGGCGCCAGCCAAGGCCCGAGCACGAGAAGGTACACCTTGAGCTTCGAGGCTTGGAGGGCTCCCTAGCGCTGCCCTGCAGGCACAGCTCCGTCAACCACTCCTCCGACAAGGTCACGTACGGGGCAAGACGCAAGAAGACAAACTCCTTCGCTGGCTCCGGGGGCTCCTGGGTCCGCGCGTCGGCCCCTCGAGCCGGCCTCCTTCGCCACCAAGAAGCCTTCAGAAGGTGCACCCAAAGGAGGCTGGTCCAAGCCGACAAAGCCTGACACTCAGCGTGTCAGAACAGGGCAGCCGGATGACGCCCAGGGCTTTTTCGGCTCCACGACATCGCCATGGTCCATAGCGCGCCGCTGCAATACCCTCTTGGACTCTGGCGCATGTAGACCATAGACACAACTCCCCCAAACAGCCATGTATCGATATATAAGGGGGAAGTCGGATCCTAAGAGGGAGGAGAACAATTCCACGCAGATCATTCGAGTCCTCACCGCTCCATTCGGGCTCTGCACCGAGAGCAGAGCAATCCTGAGAGGGGCACCGAGAGCTCCTCCATCGCACCCGTCATCTTCCTCCACTCCAGCGAGGCGTCCCTAGGACCAGCATCGAGCGATTCCCTACCAAATCTCTCTCTTTCTCTCTTACACTCTGTTGTAACCCCCAGATTTTGGGTGCTCTTGAGTATAAAGATAATCAACTGCTGGACATAGGGCACCGATTGGCCCGAACCAGGACAAACCATCGCGTCCTCTCTGTGATTCTTGTGTTCTTGAGTCCACCTAAGCCACCGGAGACACGCACTCTAACACTACCACGAACAACAATTCTTGCCGCCGTTTCGACCTCGCGACAGCTGGCGCGCCAAGTAGGGGAGCACGTCAAGTGTGATTCAGGCTCTATGGTGGCCAGAGCCACCTGCCTCATCACTGGAGCAAGCGGCGGCGCCCTAGACGATGGTGTTCGCTTCCCCGGTGAGTTCTTCGTCACAGCCAGTGCCTTCGCTCCCGGTCAGGTCCTCAACTTTGGGAGCCTGGCCTACATCGCCGACTGCTACGGCTCGCTCCACCCGCTCAACAAGGCAGCACCCACGGGCAATGAGCCTCGGCGCCGCCCACTCTGCAGAGCCTCTTGGGAGCAGATCTTGAGATGGCCCGACAAATCCGGTGCGGTCTGGGTCCAAACCCCACTGTGTCGGACCAGCGCCAGATGTTACATGCTGGCCAACATCTATCACTAGATCGTCACCGACGAGGTGCTCCCAGACCTGCCTTTCGAGATCTAGAATGCGGTGGCATCCTTCTAACTAGAGCTGGAGCACCTCGTCAGCCGTGAGGCACCACGGAGTGCCATCCTCTCCGGCGTGGCGGGGACCAACGTCTCCTCGCTGCGCACCTTCCTCGAGGTCCTCTCGGGGAATGGCCCAAAGTACGACTTCGACGACATCAACTACAATGCCCCGCCTCATATGTGCTTCCACATCGATGGCGAGGACTTCGTCGAGGAGACTCTCGAGCTCATGCCATAGGACCAAAGTCCCTACAGCCACGCGAACTACCTTCGCGATAATGCAGTTCGCCTGCAGGCTCGGCAGGCGGACCTGGAGGCCACCAAGGCAGAGCTCGAGCGCCAAAGGCAGTAGCTTGCATAGCAGCAAGCCGTGTAGCCCCCTGCTGACGACGACGACACCTGCACAAGGGCTCCTAGCCTACTACGCTTCCCCCATGCGTTATACAACATGGTGGCTACCGCCTGCCGCTTGGAGGACATCTCCGACACGCTGGACCTAAAGACCAACAAGCGACTGCACGAGGCAAGGTGGTTTCTTCGTGTTGCCCTCGAGCAGTAGGCTGAAAATTCACCCTCATGGTGCCATGCCGCACCTCTAGACCATCCTAGGCGAGCGGACCACGATCAACGGGGACCTTTCGGACGCACACGCCCCATCGATGGGAGGGAGCGGCGATGACACCTCCGGTAGCGGCTCTGACCATCCGCGGACCAGTGGCACCAAGCCCCGATAGGAGCAAAGGCGCGACCCTCCAAGAGTACATTCAGCGTTTCACCAAGAAGCACAATGAGCTCCCCAACATCAGCGACGCTGACATGATCAATGCCTTCACCTATGGCATGACCTGCAAGACGCTCGTCCACACGCTCGGCCGTGAGACCCTGCACACGACGCAGGAGCTCCTAGATGTCACCACCATGTACGCCATGGGCGAGGAGGCCATCCAAGCCAACTTTAGTGGCAAGGATAAGACCGTCGCCCACCGCAACGGTGGAGACGCAGCGGTGACAACCTTGCCTTGGCCCAATGTCGCCATGACAAGAGGGCTAGAAGCGGAAGCACCGCATGGAGGAGATGGTGGCCACGGCCGCATCGCAGCTGGCCGCTTAGGCCTCAACCCCGCAGTGGGGTTCACACCTCAAGCACTTTGAGAAGGCGCCGAGGCCCCCCTACCGTTCCACGGGGGGGCGGCGAAGCACCTCAAGGATCGCACCACCATCAGGGGGCACATCCGTAGCACCTCAGCCAACAAGGCAAGACCCGTGGCGACCAAGGCGGCGAACCGATGGGACGGGCGCCTAGGAGGACACTAAGTTCACCGAGGCCGGCTGCCTCATGATCTTCGGTGGCTCCTAGGCGCATGAGTCCCGCCGTCAACGCTACATCACCGAGCAGAAGGTGGACGCCGTCCACACCCTTATCGCCCCGACGTGTTTCGGTGGTCACAGACGGCCATCACCTTCGATCAGGGAGGCCACCCTAACCATGTTCCTCATCTAGGACGCTACCCGCTCGTGGTTAGCCCGTTCATGGGCACCATGCGCCTCTCTAAGGTGCTGATGGACGGAGGCTACAACCTCAACATCCTCTATGCCAGCACCCTTGATAGGATGGGCATCTCGCGGAGTAGCGTGTGCCCCAGCAAGGCGCCGTTCTACAGGATCGTCTCGAGGAAAGGAAGCCGTGCCCCTAGGGCGCATTCGGCTCAATGTCATGTTCGGCCAGCCGTACAACTTCTGGAAGGAGTCGCTCACCTTTGAGGTGGTGGACTTCCCCGGCATCTACCATGCTCTCCTCGGCTGGCCATGCTTCACCAAGTTCATGGTCGTTCCAAACTACACATACCTAAAGCTAAAGATGCCTAGCCTGAATGGGGGTCATCACCATCGAGGGCAGGTTCGAGCAAGCCTACTACTACGAGCAAGACTGCATCGTCTAAGTGGCCGCACTATCCACAACCTATGATCCCGCTGGCTCCGGCCGCGACGCAGGAAGGGTGTCGGCTAAGGGAGGAGTCAAGGCGACGGTGACGCTTGACTAACCGAGCACCGGCGTTGCAACCTCTCCCTAGAAGGGGCTGATCCGATCGAGCTAATCTGATCGAGGTGAGTTCCAACCTCTCCCCATGACGAAAGGCCATTGCCGAGCCATCTTCTCAAGAGCCCAGCACTCGAGCCAATCTAGGCCACTCCCGCTCTCCACCTCAGCAAGACGTCCAGGAGGCAAACGCAAAGCTACATAGCTTACTTCATTTGTTTACTATTCCTGTACCCTACGTCTTAAAAGTAAATAGTAAGTTCACTTCCTGATTGCCACGAATCCCCCTTTTGATAAAGGTGGGGCGTCACGAGGCCCACCTCGCTTGACCAGCCCAAGATTGAGCAAGGGCCTAGGGTCACCACCCACGTCAGCTGCGGGCAGATTTCCCCCAGACGGGAATGCCCGACGCGCGCGCGTCACCCACTGAGCCTGCTCGGCCTTCTCCACCCGATCTATTTGTGCTTCCGAATTCCTCAACCTAGCAACAACGCCCTTGGGGAAGATGGCATGGCAGGCGCCTATGGCTGCCACCCAGAGTTCCCTAGACTCTACGCTCTAGGAGTCGTGATGGGTCTAGAGCCTACCCATGTCCTCCTAGGCTCACCGAAGCTGCTCCCCAAGACAGCGAGCCTCCTTCCTCGACTCTACACCAGCAAGAATTCAAATATCAAGATTAGCACGGGAAAACCAACCTAGGGTCTGACGCACACTAAAAAAGAGTGAAGGGAAT